TGGGTCAGCAACAGGTGAAACACCACATCCACAGTTACTGCAAATGGGGAAGAATTCCTTCTGTGGCTATAGCAAAACATGGAGCACCACTGCAATTATTCACAGGAGATGATGGTTGCCCAGTGCCATAATTAGCTACAGAATATTCATTAATTCTTCAACTAATTCACTTGGGGAAAAAAAAAATGCATGGAAGTGGTGGACCGTGCATCTCCTTTTTTCTAAAAAAAAAAAAAGCTAAAATAAAATGCATGTTTTATTCAGTTCCCAAAGTTTCTTTTGCAGGAGGTTTAATCTCTTCCTAAAAGAGCTAAAGACAGAACACAAAGCAACTACCTCATTTTGTGAAATTGATGCTGGAACCTCTGAGCCCAGCATTCATTACAAATTCAGCACTGGAGCCACTTACTTGATAGCAGACAGCTGGAAGTGGAGGATTAAGGGGTGTCAGGAGCCAGGTCTGAGGCTCATTCTCAGCGGCCTGCCCCATTCTTCGCCCCTGCAACACTTCACAGTTTCTTAGCGATACCTACGACCCAAGAAGAGCAGCTGAACTCAAACATCACCATGCCTCCACTCCAGACGCCTCTGCTTGGAGTGTGGATGCAGATATGGGCTGGTGACAGTGGGTTGTACAGAGGCACCTCCCGGGTCGTACACATATCAAGAATAACCACACTGCAACCCTCAGAAAAAAACCCCAAACGCCCGAGCAGGGCATCCTGGCCGCACCATTGCACAGGCAGGACCGCGGGGTACAAAGCAGAAAAGAACAGCCACACCATTGCAGGAGCAGCAGCACAGCGGAAAGCTATCACAAAAAGCACTAAACCTCAATTCCTGAAGCCAAGACACTGCCCGATGTTTCTGCATTTTGCTGAAGCCAAACACCTCCCCTCTTCCTCCTCCTCCACAAACAGAGCTCATTTATCTGTTACTGGCATTTAGGGGTTTTCACTTGGTCCTGCAAGAAGCGAGGCTGCATAGGCTGCTGCTTCCAAATACCCATACATCGCTTTTATCAACACGACAGCATCTAAAGGACAGAAAGTGTTTGTCACAGCCTGACTTCTCAAGGCACCACAGCTTCTAGAGGACTATTTTACAACATCCTCAAGCCCAGCCATCATCCCTCTGCCGCCTCCCCTGGGAGATTACATCCCTGCTAATTACTCTCACTGTCAGGAAGCTGCTTCCTCAGCGACGCGGTGGCAGCTCAGTGAATGACTGTGATAAAGTTTTACTTTGTCTTGGTCAGACTCTCTCCTTTAACGCAGCCCTGCTGATGTATCAAATGGATAAAAGGACCTGGAAGAAAAAAAAAAAAACCACCACAGAAGCTGGGGCAGGGGGAGAAGGAACCACTCAACATCTAAACCTGGCCAAGAGCGATCAGATAGCATGGGCTCAGAATAAAGCAAAGTTGTTGCATACCCCTCAGATTTGTTAAACAGCTTGCTGTTCGTATTAGACATGTAATGTCTCAGCCAAAGAGACCCGGAACAGCTTATCACCAAGAGAGAAATCAGCTCAGCCCCTCCTGGATCGCACCCTGCGGGTGGGAGGGTTTGCTGAGCAAGCTCCGAGGGGCTTCAGTCCCATTTTGCGCGAGGCAAGGTTTGCCGCCTACGGCAGGGCTCCTGCGTGAGCCCGGGCTGCTCTGCGGAGGCGAAGGCAGAGCAGATGTGAGTTAATCCGCCCCGAAAAGGGGGCTGGCAGCTGAGCCAGGAGCCCCCCGCCTCCTTCAGGAGTGCAAACACAGTTTATTCTCCTATACAAAATTCATAGTGAGCTGCGACTGCCACGTGCTCGCCTCACGGCTGCTAAATATTTATGAGCCGAGTATGAAAACCAAATTTATCACTTTAGCCCTCAGCCAAGTTTGGAAGGATTCAAATACTTGTTCTGACTAGGAGCTCTACCCCCTCGCACGCTTCCTCTCCCCCACCTTGCTTCCCAGTCAAGCAGAGGAGCGAGCGTTTTCGGTCCTCAGCCCTCTCCCCGGGCAATACGTTGCCGTTTGCTTTAATAATTTCTCTGGCACAGAGTTCTGTCCAACAACAGCTGGAGGGGGACACCACGTGCGCGCTCCCGCTCCCACGAAGGAGCCGGTGGGTCAGGAGGCAGACGGGACGCACGCTGAACATCCTTTGCAGCACAGAGCACAAAGCAGCGCTGTCGGCATCTGTTATTTGGGCCAGGCCCTCGGAGCAGGGGAGCTGCAACTGGGAACAGGGATGAGCTTTGCCAAGTGAATCATTTCTTCCCCATCCCACCCTTTTGGCAAAGCCGGCACCACCTTCCACTTCCAACAAAGGGCATTGGCAGCGCTCGGCTGGGGAAGGGACGTGACCCTTCGCTTCCAAGCGGCAGATTTTCCTGCTGTCCCCGGTCAGGGAGACTAGCTGAGCGCAGTCACCCATGGCCCAGAGCGATGCTAGCTCGGCCTCTGCCACGGATCCCATCTGTCCGCGGACATAAACAGGTCCCTCCCCAAGTCCCCGGCGCTCCGAACGGACACACCTACTGCTGGCAAGGCCAGTGGGCAAAATCCTCAGCTTGCTTGCTACAGCTGCGTGTTGCATAAAGCTGCACATGGATCACTTTCCTCCTCAGTTGCCTGCATAAAGACTATTAAAATTAACGGAATAATGCATATAAATCTGCCATTGTTTCCCCTCAACACAGAGGAAGAGCCAAATCATTGCTAACAGGGGTAGCTCAACAAGGTTTGATATCAGCCTGGTAAATTCAGAGGCTGCAAGTTGCATCTAATTCAGAGCAGCTGCATTATCCCATTCAGGGAACTAATTAAACCTCCAACAACAGCACTACATTTATGTTTAAATCTCATTGTTGCCATTATGACCAGCCAGATCAGCCCCTTTCTGCACATACAAATCACTGCAAAAAAGCCCCAAACGTTCCCCACAGGTGCATCTTTACCATTTCTTACCAATCATAGGCATCTGCTTTAGGATATTTTATAGCAAAGAGTGGCCTGACTATATAATCTACTATCAGCAGCTCCCTTTTATGCTGCTTCTACAGAAGATTGCTCTGCCCTGTGAACCGTGCCCCTCCTGCCGACAGCATCAAAGAGTGCACGCGTTGCACCAGGAGTCAGAATGAGACCCCAAATGCCTCCATGCAGGCTTTGGAAATTAAAGAGCAGAACAAGCTAAAGGCAGTGAACCACCAGCTGCTGGCTTCTCCCCCTTCTTATGAGAGCATTTAACTTTACATAGTGTTTCTCAGTGGGAACAAAAACATGCTGCAAAAAGAGGCTACTGCCATCTCACAGATGGGGAAACTGAGGCAGGGAGGAGAAACCTTTGTCCAGAATCATTCAAGCTGGCCTGTGACAGCCATGAGACCCCAAGACAAATCAGTGCTCTAGCCACAGGATGCTACTACCAGATTAAAGCAATTCCACAAAATGTTTAAATTACACCAGAAACCAGGAAGACAAATAAAATCATCAGGTTTTGATAGTACAAATTTTTTTAAGTTAGACCTGCCCCATTGTAGACAGATGGGAATTTTTCACGTTCTTTCTTTTATTTCTTCACCTAAACATAACAGGAAGGAAAAGCAGATTTCCCTCTCGTGGCTTGTTAGGCTGACACTGGGTGGAAATGATGCTTTTTGTTTACAAGCAGGGAGGCACATCTGTGGGTTCATTTCTCCGAGCAGAGGAAGCACAGGCACAGTAACGCTCGACCTCCGCTACTAGCGCAGTCGTGCAGCACTGTAAAGCCAAAGGCTCCTTCCCTTTCAATGCTGGCTGTAAACAGTTCGGTTAGGCATGAGAAGCACAGTGGAAGTTACCTGGTCCTTTCAAATAAGCCTTCCGCTGCAGAATCTTTCACTCCCGGTCACAGTACAAGTGACCCAGGTAATTAACAGCAAAGCCTCCACAACCCAGACAGCTACAGAGGACAACAAATAGATGTGGCAACCCTGAGACACTGCAGGGAGTGAGAGTATGAACTGAAAGACGGGCTCATACTGGGGAGGGACTCCCACTTTGCTTTTAGCATCTTTGAATACCTCCCTCTTCCCCCAAAAGCTGATTTTATCTCCGCGTCAGGATCAGAGAGGCAGCCAGGCATCGGTGCACGGAGGAGAGGCGAGCAGGGCACAACCGTCCCACGAGTTCACACGCCTGGCGCGCACAGCTCCACACCCCCAGCACCACGCCAGGGGTTTTATTTTCTTTCAGTGTACAAAGAGTGGTTCATCTGAGCTTATCTCTTCTGCAGCACTGCTGCTCTACCAGCAGAGAATCATCTCCAAAGAATGTTTCAGTAATGCTGCGGTGCTGGATTTCAGAGGGACACTTAATCTTGCCTGAGTGGTTCACTAGGGCCAACTTTCTCAGCATGAAATATTTAACCATCCATGGGCCTCCTGTACTATAATAAAGTGACTTCTAATAAGCCTCTGAAATAAATGTGTGAAGAGAAAAGAGGGAGCTATTAAATACACAAAACACAGCCTAATTACTCTCTCCCTTCCATCCCCATGAACCCAGGACACTGCTTACCCCCCCGCCAGCAGCAGGGACCCAGAGACAAAACATCTCCTCTGGATGCTGGGAGAGTCCACAGGGGAAGAAGTGGAAAGAGGAGGTGAACATGAAGGTTTGTGAGGAGCACTGTTATCAACTCTCCCTCATTTTGGGGATGTAAAAACTTATCTGGCTTGCCTAAAAGAAATCAAGCCCTGTATTTGAGCAACTTAAAAAAAACCCCGACTTCGAAAAGCCCCTCACTTCTTGCAATTCTGCTTCTCCCCCACTCCAGTGAAGCCTATCTTTGGGCATTGAACACCTTAAAGATTTACAAGTGAGCATTTGCCTGTTAATGTGACGTGAGAGTTAGTAAAAGTAGTGAAAACCACCCAGGACCCCCTCCGAAGGCCAGTGCGGCAGAGAGGAGCTCATGCTGTACAGATTCATTCCTGGCACAGAAGCTCGTAAGCAAGGTCAGCCTTACCTCATCCCACTCCGAAGCAAAGGACGGGGATTTCTCCAGCCTCTTCTTCCCAGTGCTGCAGTTCGAGAGCGATTCGCTCCGGCTCCCCATGGCATCGTCCTCTGTCGGAGAGCAGGTCAGAAGATCAGAGTCTGATTTGGACAAGCTGCGGCTGAGTTTAAGCTCGGCTTTGGGCTTGCTCCCCGGGTGGGCTCTGCCCACAGCTCTGTCCCCCTCTTCCTCAGCACCGCCGGGGTGCTGTAGCACGTGGGGCGTGACTACAGTTTCGGGATCCGCCCGGTTGACGCGCGTGTGCTGGACGGTTGCGTAGACCACTTTCTGGTTTTGGTCCGGAGAGCTGGTCCGTAGTGATCCAGAGGCAGGTAAGTCAGCATCCTCCAGCTGCATAGCAGGTGGGTGGCTTGTAGCTTCCGTGCCTCCTTTCTCTGTGGAGGAAACGAGCCTGAAAGGGTCCTCACTTATCTCACAGATCGGGGAAGAACCGTGAAGCAACCCTGAAAACTGCTCTGGAACCTGGATGTCCTGGCCGTCGGCAGAGTCCTGGCTGCGGCTGCCACTCATCCTTTTTTGAAGGAGAGGGGGGGGGGGGGGGGGGAATTAAAAACATGGAAGAAGCAGCAAAATTCCAGCTCTCCCCCTGCCCTCCCTCAGCAAGGGAGGGAGAGATAAAGAGAGAACAGTTCAGTATTGTTCCGCATGCTCAACTTGTACCCAAAGTCATGGCATTTATGAAATTCCAAACACTGGCCTGATTTATGCAATCTGGCAGCTCTCCTTGTTGTTTTATTCCTGTTAACACTAACTATCAGGCCTTGCTATATAAGGCTAAGAGAAGTGCTAACTATATCCTGCAGAGAGAGCAAGTGAGGTAGGAGCAGCAGAGACGGAGGCTCCTGGAACATCTGATACATTTCCATAAAGGTCAAAGTGTTATTTAGAGCAGCGCTCCCTGCTCTTGGCACGAGCTGCAGGGTGGGAAAACTTCTGGACTGTAATCAACCTGCAAGTTCCAAAATCCGTTCGCCTAAAAAAAAAAAAAAAAACCAAACCACTGCTTTCCTCCCTAGTGGTTTCCGAGTTTAACCTCTCCTCCTTACTCAGGGGAGAGAAATAAACAGTTCATGCAATAAAAAAAAACTTGATCAAAAAGTCTTTCTCTTGCAAGCGACCCACTGAACGCAGAATGGTCTGATCTACTAACGCAGCGAGTTGCGTGGAGCACCGGCTGTCCCAGAAATATGACACTGGTACTCAGCTACTCCTGCACCAACATCTTTAATGTCAGGTACCAGGGTCCTGCATAAATCATGAATAATTGACTGATCCCAATTGCCAAGCGTGTGCACAGACATACGTGTGCTCACCTTGGTCACATCACACGCATTCGAACTGCAAAAGCAAAACTTTCTAAAGCTAAGTATAACTTCTGTTTACTGAGGATTCCTACACCTGCCCGTAATTGCTTGCAAATTTGAAGCACTTCCATTTAGTGCTGAAGAAACACTCTTTGGTCTGAGGACCAAAAAAAACCACACTGCAAAGGAGCATTAAGGCAAAGCACCCCGATAACGTGGCTCTGAAACGCGAGGAGGATGTTCAGATGTGAAAAGAAAATTGCTTGCTTTGCAAGACAGCAGCTTTCGGAAGCCAAGGCAAAGGAATCCTCATTTCAGCGAGGGCAAAATACACTAATGAAGTTTACTTATCTTTAACTGAAAGCGGCCTATTAGCAACAACAGCGAGAGCAACTCCTTCCCCCAAGCACCCTTCCCAGCACTAGGCTTGACCATTTTCAAACTCGAGCACCCATCTGGTTTGGTGGTCTGTCCTCACACCCGTAACGTGGCAGGAACAGACCGACTTAGTCATCTGTCTTTGCAAGCCGCTTCAGGTCCTGGGGTCTCATGCACTCTGTGTTTGACGAGCGTAAGCTAGTCCCTCTCGCAGGCATTTGTTTACTCCACAGAAATGCTAAAAGCAGCTTGCTCAGTTGGCAGCTGAGTCAGGAACAGCAAAAGCCTGAACGGAGGTTAACTGCCAGGGCAGCGCGCCGGCAGACCTCGCTTCTCACTGGGATCAAGCGATGCGAGAGCTTATTTCATTCTGGATCCTATGAGTTAAAGATTCCAGGACAATGAAGTAGTTGTTGATTATCTTGCACGGGCACATAAACCACAAGTTCTGCGACTGAAGTTGCCAAGGGGGAGGCACATCCCCTGCGGGCAGGTGGTGTCACCGGCATCGCTCCTAATGCTGGTTGGGGAGTGCCAACAGCAGCACCCGATCAGAAGAGCTCAAGACCAGACTACGTTCAGTTACTTTGCATAAAGTTATGAAGCTGTAGTGCTGGAGAGAAACCTTAGAAGAGATCAGACATGCTTCATTTGTAGGACAGACTGGTAGTAGTAAGAAAAAGCTACCGACCTGGTAAGGGGGACACAGCATCGACGGGACAGTCACATTAACCTGATGGGGAGGGAACAACTTTTGCAAATTCAACAGCCTTTCTCCTCAACCTCTTTCTTTCCTTGGAAATAATTTCTTCCATGCCCCAGCTTAACCTTTACTGACATTTCTGCTGAAGGCAGAGAGGCGGCTGGTGAAAGTTTATGCCATGTGCTGGAACGCTTGGGTCCAGCCAGAACAAAGTGCTCCAAATCCAGCTCCAGAGACTCACAAAAGGGCTCCTGTTGAACAGAAATCACAGCCCCCATTCATCCTCAAGCCAATGGACTTCAAAATACAAGGCAGCTGCCAGGGAAGGAAGGGATGAAGCAAAGACAACAGCACTTGCTCAGAAGATGTGAGGAACATCTTGAGGGAGATATTTCAGAGCGTTTCAGAGCCTGCCCTAAAAGGTGCAGACAGAACTAATGGAAGGAAAGAGTCATCTCTCTCCTTTTTATCACTGAGGTGCACATGGCAGGAACACTGAGGGTTCCTCAGGCCTTACCTTTTGGGGTTTCAACTAAAGGTGCCTCAGATGGCTAGCAGAGAGGCCGGAACAGCCACTGGCCACCTCAGGAAGGTGTGCCTTTTTGGGACACGTTACTAACATGATTCAGCTGATACGCTGATCACTTTTCTCATGGCAAAGAGATGTACAGTACTCATTTTTCAAGGGTGAAGTGAATTTGGAGAAGAGGAAAATAATATTTAGGTGCTAGAAAAGCAGAGACACCCCAGTTCTCTCCACCTGCTGCACTTCAAGGGATTTGAAAGCATCATCCTCCAGTTACACCTTTTAACTCAGAAAGGGAGTCATCCTTAACTCAGGGACTTCTGTCCAACTCCCTTAGCTCATTTTACACCCAAGCACAGACATCTGACTGGTCCCAACTTCTTCAGCCAATGCCTGCTGCAGGTGTCACCGACAGGAGGAACTTCCAGCACCTAACGGGAACAGGAACCCCTTCCTGGGTACAGACTGTCTGCTTTCCCAGGGAGGATTCAATTAAGAGCTTCCCTTCCAGCAGCCTGATGATTCCAGATATGAAGCACCTCCCTAAACTTGTAACACCAAGCTGCAACCGCCCTG